GTGGTACCATCTCAAAGAGGCACAAAATCTGTTTCTTGGACCTTTACTATGACGTTCCCTGCTGGTGGAATGATCTGCCTAACTCAACCAGAGCTTCTGAGTCAGTAGCCACTTTCAAGAAACTGCTGAAGACGTATCTTTTTCGGCAGATTCAGTAGTACTAACACTTTCTCTTCTCTTCTCTAAAACTGCACTAAAATTAAACTGAGAGGGGTTATAGCACTTGCGTATTGTTGTCCTACTGTTAGTTTAACTGCTTCTTTCGTTCTCATTTGTAAGTCGCTGGATAAAAGCCTCTGCTAAATGAATAAATGTAAATAGTTTAGTCAATAAAATAAACAAACCGTATACAGCAAATAAAATAGTAATGAAAAGGCTATATTAAAATATAGGCTATATAAAATAAATAATGACTAAATTCTAAAATAATTGACTAAAATCGATTTGCCAGGGAACAAATGATACGATCAATGAGACCAAAGATCGCCACATGTACACAAGATGATTATATCTCATGTTTAACCACTAGACTACAGACATCAGAGCCAGCGGCAAACGTCAGAAGCACTAGCCGAGGAAAAGCTGTTCCAGGCGGGGTACATGAGCGCTGAGAGCCCGGTGAAAGACTGGTCCTCACAACTCCAAAAACGTCAGAACAAATTTTTAAATAGCCGCAACATACAAATACCACATTCGCATTACATTTGTATAAAAAAATTATATCTTTAGAAAAGTGGATTTTTAGGGTTATTGCATGGGTATTGTAACACTCAACCCTTTATTTTCTCATGTTTTCTTTTTTTTTTTTTGAGCTGTAGTAATTATACTACACACCTTGCGGGGGCATCAAGGAGTAATACTCTCAGGTATAAAACAGGTGTAGAGAGTACATGTAATGGAGGAGTAAGCATGCATTAGAAATCCAAGAAATCAATGGTCCTGATTGGGAAACTGAAAGTTTGATGCTCAATCGAAAGTAAGCATTGTTTATTTTCTTATGTTGACTGGTTGATGTATGAGTGTGTATTTTTTCTAATGTTATTTATTTATTTTGTAGAAGGACTTCACATACTGTGGCTTTTGTCTTTCTGTCACTCATGGTGGGATCCTTGTCTGAAACTATGCGAGCGAGTTTAGAGGCCCTGTGGCTTATTTCAGTGGTTTTTCCGCACTGTTTTGGATCCCGAAGCTGAATTGTATGGAATTTTGGATCCACACTAAGGTTGACACTGGAGGATTTGAGATTTGGATTTGTGGACTTGAGCTTTCATGGACATTACTGTAGTGTGGGTTCAACGTGATTATCCTTGGCATCATCATCATCTTCGTCATCGTCATTCAGAAGAAAACAGATAAGACTTTCATTAGTATGTTGCTGGGTGTTGAGTGAAAAAACAAAGTAAGATCTTTTGTGTGACTAGGAAAGAGTTTTGAAAGATAAAGAAAAATGCAACAAATGAAAAAAGTTTATTGATTGTTTTTCTGCAGATCACAGATTTGTTAAGATTGCTAATAAATACTTCCAATGTACTTTAAACACCATATAGTTAGTGAATCCCACCCAAAATAAGACAAATCAGATTAATAACTAAGTTATTTTGTGAGGTTAAAGAAGGAGTTGTAGTATTGCTCCATAGATCTCCATTCATTCTGCACTCCGCCTGCGAGCGCCCCCGTATGGACAGAGGCGTGTTACTGCAGCCAGTCCAGAAACCGGAAGTAACGAGACAGTGCCAATTCTCCACTGCGCAGGAGGAACATTTAGCGAACATGATCGGGTCAAAAAAAGCTTAAATATTTTTGGTTTTGGCCCCAACTTTATTCAACTTTTTTCAGAAGTTCAGGAAAACTTGATTTAAAGTTTGGAGAATTATGAAATTGGGAATGTTTTTTGGAGTTGCAATATTGAAAGGGGCTTATTATTCTGTTATGTCTTTTTAGTCAAAATGTCATTGCAGTACACATTTAATTGCAACTGGTCTCTGTCTGAAAGGAGTCATTTAAAAATTCAAGCACAAACCTAATAAACTAGCATATAATCTTGCTCTGCATAAAGCAATATTGATTTTATATTGTTTCTTGATTTATATTGTTTTTCTTATACAGTTTTCAGCTTTAATTTGTATCATTTCCATTCAAATTGTGATACTAACATATCATTAATATTGTTCAGTTGAATATCAGCAAATGATTTAATTCATAATAATTTTCAATTATTACATTTACTATAGACATTGTCTGAAATAACATTTAGTGTTAATTTAATGAAATTTAGTGATTCAATGTACTTCAATAATAAAAATTTTCTTTATAAATATATTGTTCAAGTACATGCTTTTTTAAATTTGTTGTTCAAATAAATAATGTTCAGTGAAATCAGTGAAGGTCGCCTACTTTAACCCTTACAGTATTTATGAATATTGATGTTGAGTGACTATGATCAGTAAAATTGTTCAAGGTACTTTTCAGAACTAAATTAAACCTTAAACTAAGTTGTGCTGTTTTGATATTCATAAACATGGAAAAATGGTTTAAATGTATTGTATACTTGGCAAATCTGGGAAGAAACCACACTGAGTTTGTGTGTGTAACAGTTCACACACTGAAAACCACTTGTGTATTTCTTTAAAGTGGAGCCTAATTAATTTCATTGAAAAAAAAAAAAACATTACATAACATAAACATTCATTATTTATGAACATTATTGTGTAAGTTTTGTAAAAATGACAATTCATGTGATATTTCATATGTTTTCGTATACCATATACCGTAAGTCAGACGGGATAACGCTGTTTTTTTTTTCCATTGAAATCAATGCATAATTTCACTAAATGGAGTTGAGGAAAACAATAAAAATCAAGTCCTGTAAAACTTTTTCAGACATTTACATTTTAACTCACATTGCAGTGTTAAAATGTGTGTAAAGAACTTGAACAAGAAATACAAAAAAAAAAAATAATAATTTTTTTTCTGATCTCTAAATATTGTTTACTGCATCACTTTACATATATTCATTAGCCTAAGTATTATTGATTTGAAAAGTTTTAATATCATAATATTTAGAAAATGCATTAACGTTATCCTGTAGGCCTTATGACATTTTGACTGGTGTGGTCAAATGATTCTCAGTTAAACCACTTAAAATACATAGTTTAAAATTTAGATTTTTAGTAACAATTAAAAAAAAAAAAAAAATCCCCATAAAGATAATAACTACTTTAATGTACAGTTTTAACTAATTTGATTTTTTTTTTTTTTTTTTTATCAGTTGAAAACCTTATTTGTCATTGATGTGAGCTCACGCGCTCTGCTCACGCACGCGGCTTCGGATGCGCGTGCGAGCATATGAGTGATTCGAGTATGAGTTGCTATGGCGACGCGTCTTATGAATTTTGAATGAAATATATCAACACTTTGATCGCTGTTGGTTGGTTGAGAGTCGAGGCGATTTCAGAGACTTTTGCTGAAAATTTTCTTGTGCTAAACTTGAGATTTTGAAGCTGTTCGGAGGATTTCAGAAAGAGAGGAGACTTTTATTGCAGAAGGAGATCGGATAATATATCCTAGCTAACGCTACATCGTTTTATTTATTTTTATTTAATATTATTTCTGAGGACGCTTTAATTTGATTGTTCTTTTCTTATTTTTGAGGGAGTTTTGGAGTTTTATTTTATTTATTATTGTTTTATTTATTTTTATTTTTTATTTTTTGGGGGGGGGGGGGGTTTCTGAGTATTTTGGGTGGGGTATTACTGAGGTGGGGTATTTCATTGTATTGTATTGTATTTTGTATTGTATTGCTCTTGTTTGCAGGAGGATGCCAGGCCCGACCGGGACTCAGAGCCATGAGCTTATTCCTGGATATGTAACATCTCTGTCTTGTGAGTTTGTTTCTGTCTCCACAGGTCCGGCTGACAGGAAGAGAGAGTGGCAGAGAGACAGCCAGCAGAGCCCAGATGATGGACGTCCGTCCACTTCTTCTCAAGACTCTCGGAGAGCAAAGGCAAAGGTAGGGTGACCAACAGTCCTGTTTTCACGTCCTGTCCTGGCCCTCCTGGCTGCTCTTTATAAAGTGATGAAAATGTCCTGGTTTTCAAAAAACTGCTGGAAAGATCAGCTCTACAGCAAAATATAGATGGGCAAGGAAAAAAACAGGATAAAGAGGAAGAAAACTAAAGATATAAATATATTTTGTTAGTTCTTTTGGCAAGTTTGTGAGAGATATATATTTGTTCAATTTGTAGGTATTTCTATCAGTTATTTATTATTTATATATTTACTTTTGTAATACAGAAGAGACATTATTTCATTATTTTTGAAACCTGTCATAATAAAACGTTGAGTAACCTCTGAGAAGCCTATCTGGATTTGTGTCTTGTTAATGTAACAATTTTCTATTTATACAGAGGAGGAATAGCCTACTTTCAATGTATTGAAATTAATAAGGCATCTTTGAGTAAACTATGAGTATCTGTTTGCTGGGCCGAGTGTCCTGGTTTTTGGTAATCAAAATATGGTCCCCCTAGGCAGAGGAAGAGGAGAAGAAGCTTCATTCCCGTGACTGGAGCGGCATCATCCCAGACCAGAGGACTGCGCCGATACCTGAGAGAAGAGCTGAGGGTAAATCAAATGACCATTGGAGAAATTATCACTGGAGTGTCATTAATTACCATATATGACCACACCATATTATATCAAAATACAACTGAAGCCAATAATCAGATTTAGTTTTTATTCCAAGACACATCATAACATATTTAAATAAGGATTGGATACAAGTTTCAAGAATAGCCATAATTTGAGTATCCAATGTTTAATAATTATGATTAGTTTGAAACATGCTTGTGTGTGATATTCCCTGCTTTAGAGGATCATGGTCACACATGGTACACAACATTATAAGTTATTATTAATATTTGGTTGGTTCTCTTGTTTTTGCATGTGTTTTTAATTCAGCTTTATATAACAGCCTGGACAAAAATGATGTTGCCAAATTGTTTATGTTTTATTGAATTATTATCACAAATTAAACAATCGACTCCCAGCTTAACTGTGCAATATGACTACAAAATCTTACACACATTTATAATAACATTTAAATGCATGACAAGAGTGCAGATGTCAGATTTCCTGGGCCGGACGTCACTTGTGTTCACTATTGTATATAGCTGTAATTGTAAATGTAAGGGAGAAAAGGAAAGCATGTGTGTGTGTGTTTGTGTGTGTGTATTCAGGCACTAGGATGATTGGGAAGAACATATTTAACTGTTTTCATCCCATGTTCTTCTTTCTTCATGATGTCAAGCCTCAGTATTTACGGTTTCTTGTGTTAATGTTTTTACCTTTCTTAAGGCATCTGTGCTTTCTTACGGAGAATCGGGAAGGCTGTAAAGCTGGACTGCAGTGAGGTCGATATACTTGTGTCCACATATCCCTCCTGCAATCCCACGGATGTCCAGCAAGATTCATCCGAGTTTTACTGGGCAACACCAGTGCATCCGTGTCCATCTGGAGTCCAGCTGCCGGTTAATGCCGATCCGGACGATCCCGAACACTCTTGCACATCTGTCCTGGACCCAGAGCCGGCAGTGGCACGAGATCTAGAGCTGATGTCTTTCTCGGGATTGTCCAGTCTCTCTAGTATCGAGCTGACGCCGGACTCTATTCAGGACGATCCTGACGATGCATCGTCTGTCCCGGGTGAGTCTATGGTCATTATTATTACTGTCAGTACTTTCATTATACCGAGTTGTGTTGTGTTCATCTTGTGTACCTAATTATTAAAGTCCCCCGCTGGTCAATCAATTCATCCCTTTAAACTCATCTTTGATCACCAAATATTCCATATTTAAATGTTTTTTTCTTTGAAAAAACAATCCGTCACGCCTTAAAATAGCTTGAATGTAACTCGACACCCTTGCCTCATTTAGTATGCTCGGTTCTATGAATATGCAAAATGGCCCCGCCTCCACTCACTCACTCAGCCCAGAGATCCACTGGTTGACGATCACACGTTGATCTGATTGGTTACAAGGTGGTTTGTGACGTCAGAAACACCAGCGATTTCACACCGTGTTTTTGAGACTGTCTTTGGTTCACTGCAGTTTTAAGGAGGAAATACTCTGAAAATACTTGGAAAATGTCCCACTTTCCAGTTGTCTCACCTCACAATTGAATTCTTTCTTCATTATGTCTTCCCTCAGATTTTGCTGAAAGCCAAACACAGAAGAAGAAGAAAGATGTGGGTGCGTTTCTCCGTAGGAAATGGAGGGCTATGATAGCGCCGGCTGTTGTAAGTCTATTATTAGTCTACTGTCATTCTTTTCGTTATAGTTGTGGACTTTTGCTCTAGTCTACGGTTTATGTTATTCTTGTTCCCCTTAAATTATTAGTGTTCAACATTCAGCATCTATTTTATTTTTCACTATAATCTAGCGGTGGAATCTTTTGGTGCTTCACGATTCGAAACGATTCTCGATTTTGAATCAAATTTCGATTTGAAATGAGCATTTTGATTGTAGTTTACTGTTGTGTGTTACTTCTCTTATTTGACTGCGGTACACAGTTTAATAGCTCTAGAGAAAAAAAGAAAATCCGACTGAATTAAATGTGAACCTTGAAATGTATTTAGTTTTTTAGGAATGAGTGCATGAAAATAGTTACACATCCGGTTTTCTTCCATTTTGAAAAGGCATTTTTGTGTGTGGGCTGTAGTCATATACGTTTACATAAGGGATTTATTAATATGAAAATGATTTTGTGATTCTCTACTGTAACCCATGACACAGTCACAAGCTATTATAAGTCCATCACTTTTTTGCCGTTTTATTGCCTTTCCATGATTTGCTTTGGTCGTCTTTGTTCTGTCCGAAGTCGGCGTGGCGTAATTGACTTTATTTTTCCATTTTTTTCTTTTTTAGAAAAACAATCAAGAAGGAGGGTGAAGAAAGGCTCATTCATCCAACGAACATGGAAAACTCTAAAGGTTTCCGCTCTTGGCTGTTACGGGGACGACACAGTGGACCCAGATCCAGCAGATCTACAGCCACCAATATCTGTCCTCTCCAGGGACTTAACCGAGCCAGGTCCATCTCACCGCGAGATCAGTTCTGACCAGTTACCCTTCTCGGGTCCATCTCACCGCGAGATCAGTTTAGACACGTCACCCTTCTCAAGTCCATCTGGTTCCCAGTCAAGTTTCTTTTGCTCCGATTCATCGTCTGCTCCATGTCTGACCGATCTTCTCTCAGAGTTATCAATTTTAATGGGAGATTACGAGCCTGTTTCCAGTTAATCCAGTCTCAAGCTGATCCTGAGCTGAGTTGTAGGACTGTTCACACGTTTGTTTTCTGTATTGACTAAGCCTGAATTGCGGAAGAATCATCAAACTGAAGCTGAAATTGGGCAACCTGATATACACGGACACTGTTGGTTGAGCACTAAATTGGACTTAGTGTGATTTCAATTTTCCACGTTGCTGTTGTTTTTTTTTTCTTGATTGTTTCAAGTCCTTTTGTATTTTATTTTAATTTTTTACATTTTTTATTCTGATTGAATATTGTATTGGTTTCTCTCATCTTTTCCCGGCTGGAGCGTTTGGTTGTTGGTTGTAGAGCGAGACACTGCTTCACTGCTGCTCGCCCTGCGATCGATTGCCAAACTCACTTTCTTTACACTCACTTACAATCGAACATTTTCAGACTCGTGCGTCTACACTACACCCGTACCACTAAAAAGACGGATTATACCCAAGTCTTGAGTCATAAATTAGTATAAATACTAATAGCATCACCTTTTTGTAGTTTATTTATTTTTATTTATTTTCATTCCTAGAATATCCAGATCCACCATTTTCACATTTATTTCCATTTTCACATTTATCTCCCAGTTGAAAGCTAGACTAAATATTCATTTATTTAGCCAGGCGTTCATATAAAATTTTTATCTTACAGTTACTGTAAATTTGGCCTCTAGTTCATAAACGCCAGAGGAGAACTGGCCCCCGACTGAGCCTGGGTTCTCCCAAGGTTTTTTTTTTTTTCTCCATCGGGTCACTTGATGGAGTTTTTCGGTTCCTTGCCACTGTTGCCTTTGGCTCGCTCAGTTGGGGATATTCAAATTAAATGACCCATCATACCATTGGTCAGCTCCACCAAACTTGGATGTCTTTTTCTTTCCAGTAATAAACAAACACTGTTAAGTTCTTTTGATTGATACTGTGAAGCAGATATGATACAATCTGTATTGTAAAAAGTGCTTTTTAAATATATTTGACTTGACTATTCTACACACTTTGTGTTCATGTATAATGTATGCTTGTATAATGTATTCTTGTATAATGGCTGTTATTGTTCATTAACTTTTATTATTCAGTAAATAATATTTTGTAATAATAATATATTGGCGTACCTGATTTTGAGAGATGGTGTGTGTGTTCGACCGCTTAACACTGTGATTGCTATCAGGATATGAGGAGAATTTCAACCCGCATAATAAAAAAATTAATTGTAGACAGTCACCTATTGCACCTCAGCATTTTCCACACACTTTTATCTTTATATGGAAAAAAATGATATTCTTCAGGAGGGGCAGGTCCTCTATCCACCTTATTTTTAATGTAATACCAAGGTATCAAAAATACAAGTACATATCAAAAATGTAAAACTTACATACAATTAAATGATAATAAAATCCATAATTTATGCAAATATACATGGGCCTATAGGCTACATAGAGATTTCATATAGCCTATATATACATGTAAAAACAAGAAAAACAGAACAGAAAACTTTAATGAAATGAGTTAAAAAGTTGAAACAAGGTTACTGAGCTTTAAGATTCTCAGATGATGAAATATTTGGATGTACTGTTGGACCTCTCTCCTAAAAACGGTGAATTTGAAAAGAGAATTTAATAGCAATAATAGAATAATAATAAAGTATTCATTCGTTTGAGCTTTTTGTATATTAAAAAAAGCCAAACATTACATCCTTAAAAAAAGAGAGAGAAACCCGGAAGAACATTGCAGTTAATGAGCATCTCGTCTGACTGTTTACTGATAAACCTGCTCCCTTTCAGGTACATCATGAACCGTACATTTGCACTCATGTGAATATTAGTGACTAAATCTATTTTTTGCTAGGTTAGGTATTGTGTTATATTGTTGAGTTAAATACGATACGGGGCGAATCCAATGTAAAATGCGAGAGTTTTCAGCTGGAGAGCACGCGGTTCGCGCGCAAATCGTTTATGTGTTTATCAGTAGAGTGATTAAATGAGTTGAAGGTCGATATATGATCTGTGTTTTCACTTGTGTTTTATGTCAGATTGAGGCTTGTGAATATAGACAGTCAGTGTCGCTGTTTTAGGATGCCCACTACTTTAAGTGCACTCATTTATTCACAGTGAACTTGGGATGCGTTGATTTAAAGGAGAAGTACATACGAGCTCATGCACTGGTGTATAACATTATAGAAATAATAGAGCTCATGCATTGTTGTGTAATAATTATTAATTGATTGCCAAGATTGATTCTAAGTAAAAACTCTGTTAATGAAGCATCTCGTCTGACTGTTTACTGATAAACCTGCTCCCTTTCAGGAGTGCTACATTAGCAGGGTTAAATTTGTGTACAAATTTTAGTGAAATGTCTTTCAAACTCAAAGTCCATACTGGCAAAGTCAATATGGTCAACAAAGTTCATCCAATATGACGCCACATATGGAGTTGTTACAAGCTCCCTTTAAAAGAGAGATCTAATTCTAGAATTACGGGATGAAGGATGCGACAAACCGTTTTCCTACTGGGAGTTCAAATGGGGTTTTGTTTTATCTGTTTGGCTGTTGTAATGATATAGAATTTGAATGTGATTTTATTATTATTTTGCTCTGTCCCTACAGCACTGTGGTCAACTGTGGTTGTATTAATGTGTGTGTGTGTGTGTGTGTGTGTGTGTGTGTGTGTGTGTGTGTGTGTGTGTGTGTGTGTGTGTGTACTCTATAGTGTAGGCTTCTGTATTAACTGATCAGGTTGAATATGGGCACACTAGCATTATATAGTTATCGTCTAAGTTCGTAAGGAGGATTTGAGACAGCAATTTCACTACAACTTGTGAAATGAAAAAAAGAAAATGCACTGAATTGGTACCAGTTCAAAGTTGATAAATCTACAATCAGTAGAGTGCCGAAGTGATGACGTCACTTTGTAGGACAACTCGGAAGCTAGCGGCACGTGGGTTCCCTCTGTCGAAAAGCTATGCATTTTCCCCATAGACTTTTGAAAAATCGCAAAAAATAAGGTCTGTGTTTAACAAACAGTTGTGAGTGTGACCCTTACACGTTTTGTCTATCAAGATAATTTTTACAAGTTAATCCAAAAGTTACACATTTTGAAGCCTATATAAAGTTTTTAAAAAACACAAAAAGACACAATAAAGTTTTAAAAAACCACAAGCGGGTTATAACTGTGTTCTATGTCAGACATCAAAACGTGAAAATATTTAGAGGCTTTGTTCACCACAGACCTTATTTCAGGCGATAGCAAAAACCCATTCAAAAATCCCATAGGCTTTAGAGCGAGGGAACCGTAGTGCTAAAATGCTAACTCACTTCCGCGCCTACAGAGTGACGTCGTAACTTCGGCACTCTAGAACTAAAACAAATACAAGCAGGCCTGCTTCATATGACAGAACAGAAGCAGAAATAAACATGTGACAGAAGAAAGATTTACTAGCCAGGTAGTTTTAAACTCAGTTTCAGTGGAAGTAGGCTTTCTGAAGTGTATGGTGTGTATTGTAACTGGCAAGCAGCTTCCGCCCTGCATTCAATGGCTGTCCTGCAGATCCTCCAAGCCGACCTCCTCCTCCGTGGGACGAGAAAGGCCGGGACCCATCTGCCGATACGGACCTGAGGACCTTGAGGTTGTAATAATTGATGATCAGTTGAAATTCACAGACCACATTGCTAGAACTGCCCGGTCCTGCAGATTTGCCTTGCACAACATTAGGAGGATCAGGCCCTTCCTTACAGAGCATGCTACACAACTCCTTGTCCAAGCACTTGTTTTTATCCAGACTGGACTATTGTAATGCTCTCCTGGCTGGTCTTCCAGCTTGCTCTGTCAAACCTCAATTGATCCAGAATGCTGCAGCCAGAGTAGTCTTTAATGAGCCAAAGAGAGCACTCGTCGTCACTCCTCTCCTCTCAAAATTGCACTGATTGCCAGTTGCCGCTCGCATTAAATTCAAGGCACTGACTTTTGCCTACAGAACAACCACTGGCATTGCTCCCTCTTACCTAAACTCATTACTTCAGACTTATGTGCCATCCAGAAACTTGCACTCTGCTAGCGAATGTCGTCTTGTGGTACCATCTCAAAGAGGCACAAAATCTGTTTCTTGGACCTTTACTATGACCGTTCCCTGCTGGTGGAATGATCTGCCTAACTCAACCAGAGCTTCTGAGTCAGTAGCCACTTTCAAGAAACTGCTGAAGACGGATCTTTTTCGGCAGATTCAGTAGTACTAACACTTTCTCTTCTCTTCTCTAAAACTGCACTAAAATTAAACTGAGAGGGGTTATAGCACTTGCGTATTGTTGTCCTACTGTTAGTTTAACTGCTTCTTTTGTTCTCATTTGTAAGTCGCTTGGATAAAAGCCTCTGCTAAATGAATAAATGTAAATAGTTTTGTCAATAAAATAAACAAACTGTATACAGCAAATAAAATAGTAATGAAAAGGCTATATAAAATATAGGCTATATAAAATAAAATGACTAAATTCTAAAATAATTGACTAAAATAAAAAAGACTTTAAAATGAAATCAGTTTTATTGATCAGTAAGAGACATTATAACTGTATAAGTAAGCTAAAAGTTATAAGAAGATTTATACAAGACAAGAAATAAAGTAAACGATTCAGACACAGCAGGATACAACATTAAAATAGCCAAAATATAAAGTCATGAAACTTCAATTTGCCCTCAGCCAAAACGATTTGCCAGGGAACAAATGATACGATCAATGAGACCAAAGATCGCCACATGTACACAAGATGAATTATATCTCATGTTTAACCACTAGACTACAGACATCAGAGCCAGCGGCAAACGTCAGAAGCACTAGCCGAGGAAAGGCTGTTCCAGGCGGGGTACATGAGCGCTGAGAGCCCGGTGAAAGACTGGTCATTACATTTATATATAAAAAAAAATGATATCTTGAGAAAAGTGGATTTTTAGGGTTATTGCATGGGTATTGTAACACTCAACCCTGAGTGTTACATGTTTTTTTTTTTTTTTTGAGCTGTAGTAAATATACTACACACCTTGCGGGGGCATCAAGGAGTAATACTCTCAGGTATAAAACAGGGGTGCTTCTCAATATCCCTCCTCGTCTCCTCGCTCCTCCGTCCTCCCTCCTATGACCCGGAAACCGATCGAGCTCAGCCATCTTGAAGG